GGACATTTTTCAATGGCAATGGAACGTGTGTTGTAGAGGATGGTTGATGGCTTCATCATCATTTTCCCTTCCATGGGATGGCAATGGTAAAATTCAGTACGTTCAGCTGTTTTCCTGATCTTATATTACTCCCATAGGCAGGCTGTCCTCCGGGCAAGCACACCTTCTAAGCAGAGGTTATTGTATTTTGATCTATTCAATTCTCATGCCTTTTTCACCATTTTGATATCTCCTATTCCAAATGCAGATGTCAAGAATAAATTCCTGAGCACACCATCCAGAGTTTTACCAACACAGAATCAGAAGCAGATGGGAAACGCTGTTAATCCAAGATTCGGTCTGACAGAACAGGCCGTCTCTCCCTGTTATTAGTAAGCTTAAGAATGGTAATTCTGAGCAGCAAATGTCAATAGCTCTCTTTAAGATGAACTTTGTAGGTCTAACTCTTTTCATGAGAAGTTTGTTTTCTGATTTTTTTAAATTCAGTTTAGAGTGAACTTTTGAGAGAGTAGCACCACTCTCTTGGGATGTCAAGCATAGAGACCATATATAAATCTTCTCTATGTCTATTGCTACCTGTTTCTGTGAGAACGTAAGCAAAATGTATGAAGGTTCTCTCTGTGCCCAGAAGGATGGTGGGCTACATGTCAGGTGAACACTGGTACTGATGTAAGCGTAAACAGTAAATGTAAACATTTTCAAAGCATTTGAAGGCATCCTCAGAAATAGTCAAATCCAAGTAAAGTTCTCTGAAAATGGGGCATGAAAGGGTCGGAACAACTGGCCGTGGAGAGAGACTTTTCAGACTGATGAGTCACAGTGAAGATCAAGTGGAGCCTTTCCTGCACTAAGTTGGGAAGTCCTGAAACTAAGGAAGAGGAGGGTTGAAGAACTGACCCAGATCAAAGTGAGGACAAACATGACCATGTTAGTTACTGAAGGACTTTGTAAGTCCAAAATGAACTCACTGATTTGTCAAGCTCACCATAGCAGGCTGAGCAACAATGATCACAAATACACACTTGGATTCCGAGAGCGTAGGCTGCAATTCTTGCTGCTGTCACTTCACAATCACACCCGATATACTTCATGTCTCTAAACCTCAGCATTCTTATCTATAAAGTGGCTTTAATGTCAAATAAAAATGACTCCGAAAGATGGTGGGGATTAAGTATCAGATGCAGCTTACATATTTGGCAGATCCTGGCCCAGAGTTAGAGCTCAGTCTATGCCAGCAATAATTCTTCTTACTGTTGTCTGGAAGCCAGAGCCTGATTGTATTAGACTGGGCAGTATGACCTTCTTTCTGAGCCCTTTCAAGGTTTTACAAATTAAATAGGCTCTGGTTCATTTCATGATGTTTATTGCTTTTTCTTAAACTTTAAGGTTTTCTTTCTCTGTTAAGAGGGCTCCAATTACAATAGAATCAAGGTGATTCCTAAAGCTGCTGAAGGCACTTGTGTGTGTGTTTGAAACGATCCATTATGTTCATCCTCCTGGGAAAGCAATTGGCTGTTTAGCAACAGCTTCACAAAGTACACTCATGTACAGGTTATTATCCACTATAACTAGACTCTTTTTAAATGTTATTTATTTCCAAAGGGAGAACGAGTTTCCATTTTATATCTCAGCTGCTGCTGATTTTCCCTCAGGTAAATTATCCCACAGGGTTCATGTTAAATCTCATCTCATTATATCTGCCAATCTCCTCAAGCTTGTCCTTTGGCAATTCAGTCATCTCTCCTGTTTACTTTTAACTTGTTTAGAATTATATGCACGTTTCATCAATGTTGGATTTAAATCAGCTGCTGTTACACAGGTGTGGTTTGCGCCGGCTTGTACCTACTCTTCTTCAAGTTCTAAGGCTAGGCAGGGTGATTGATCCGGACAGTGCACCAAACTTTGTTTTAATGAATCCAGAGTTCCCTGTGTGTGGTGAGCTTTCCAAATAAAACTTTGATAGGATGTTTCTAAAAACAAAAACAAAATCAACTCATGCATTTATTATTAATCCATTGTTTATTGTGAGGGACGGTACTGTGCTGAGTCCTGGAAATCAAATTCCTCCTCTTAGACATTAACCATTTTAATGAGAGGGTAAATTTTATAGAACATAACAGGTAGCATGTTAACTACTGCAACAGAAGCACATAAACATTGCATATCAAACCTAGATGGAGGAGCATGATTTGCTAAGTTCTGAATTGGACTGGAAAGATGAAAGAGAAGGCTTATTTTGGTCATTCATAGTAATGTATAATCTCACATACACAGTATGCAAACATACACATATGTACAAACTCATCTCCAAATCTGTACTTTTCACCTGCCTGCACACAAACATGCTTATATACACCAAGGTGTTGTGGTTGAGTAATTGTCTTCTATTATATCAGGACTTATATGTAAACTTTTATTTTTGGACATAGAATTTACAAATTACTTGATCTATTATACCAAGTATGGAGTTTGCACCTAGTTTCAGTCATCACTTATTTTTTATGAAATACCTTTTTTTCTATATTGGAGTCTTTAACATAATTCCTGGAAAATGCAAGTTAATTTGGACAATAAAATTATTCAGCTTCACATATCATTTTTTAATAGCAAGTGTTTTGATTCATTTATTCATGCTCATTAATTTTGAAAGGCAGAGAGAGATAGAGAGAGAGAGTTGAATAAGTAAATAAATAAATAAGTAAATAAATAAATAAATAAATCTGTCATCTGGTTGATGCCTCAAATGCTTACAGTGGCTGAGGCTGGTCCACCCTGAAACCACGAAATCAGAATTCTATCCAGCTCTTCCATTGTGTGCTAGGTACCTACACACGTGAGCTCTAACTGCTGTTTTCCCAGGCACATGAGCAGGGAGCTGGATTAGAAGCAAAGCAGCCAGGACCTGAATCTACACTCTGATACAGGATGCAGGAGTCTGAAGTGATTTAAGGTGCTGCCCATACTCTTTTGACTTTTGAATCCTCCAAATATGTTTAATTTTAGCATTACTGAAATCCATGTATCATTAATTTCTGATGTATACATATTTCTAGAATATATTACATTGAGAGGCTGAACATTTTTTTGTGCTGTTGATTTCCCATAATTTGTTGAGTAATTATTTATCACCAACTTAGGATACTAGATATGAGCATTAACTAGATATGATACTTTTAGAATTGGGCCCAGAATGGAAGCAGTTGAGATATCTGCATGAAATAAGTTGTGGAAATAAGAATGTTTGGAGCTTATTTAACAAGTCATCACTAAGTGTTTTGGGGCAAGTAATTGGTAGGTGAATGTAAACGATTCCAGTGATAATTGTCCCTGGATTGGGACAGATTCAGTGAGTCTGAAAAGTTATTTCCAGGAGCTGAGAGTTCAGTGAGGTGCTGCCTAACACTGAGCCTTAGCCAGAGAACTGTTCCCTAGCCACGAGACTGGAGGGGGTCAGAAAGGGAACAGAGTAAGGGGAAAGAGACAAGACAGCAGTTTACTTTAATAGTGAAATGCAAGGTAATGTAGGCTGGAACCAGGGTAGGCTGTAGGAAGGGAACGGAAAAGACATTATACATAGAGAGGTCTTCGTTGGCCTATAGTGTTCTGTGCCTAATGCAAATTAAATACATTTTGGAGATACTTAGTATGGATATTACTAGCCATTTTCTTACAGAGTGCTGCTGAAACTAGTAAATGCAGTATAATGGTGTTACTAAAATAAAACTGTTTTCCCTTTAATAATGCTGCAGCCTCATTATAAAAAAAAGTCAATGTAGAGCTACAATTTCAATAGTTTAGAATGACCTGCTGGAATTTTATTTTTTTTTTTAACATTTGAAAAGCTGTTTTGATAGACCTAGGGTTTTTTTTTTTCTTTTAAATGTCTGTAGTGTTGTGGTTTTTAATAAATAATAGATGAATTGTTTGCAGTTAATGTTATGCTAGGTCTGTTTTCCTGTCTAATGGCTGCCTATCTCAAGCGTGTGGTGGTTTAAATTGTTTGTTAAGGTGCTTAAAATCATTAAATGCTTTTCTGCTTGTTTTCGTATTAACACTTAAGAAAATGTTTCTAGGAAGACAATCCATTTCTTCAATTTTTCTTTTGTAAAGGGACAAATGTCATGTTTTCATGTACATGCAGATTTAAGCACATCATGATACTCCCTGCTCTTCCCTCTCTCCCTCCGGCCCTCCCTCCTACCTTTCCTCATCCTACTTTGTCATTTTTCATGTTAAGTTTTACAGTGATATACTTCAATTCACATTAAAGTTGCAGTCTCAACTCTCTTGTAAAAAAAGTACAAACAGTACAAAATAAAAAAAAAACCTGTGCCAACAGAGTTATAGACAAAAAAAAAAATCCAAATGTCTGTTTCACTCATAAATTACAATTTTTTTTTGAACTCTGTGTATTGATTAGCATGAATCAGGGAAAACATAATATTTGGATTTTTTTAGATTTAGTTACTTTTATTGCAAAGTCAGAAAGGAGGAGAGACAGAGAGGAAGATCTTCTGTCCGATGATTCACTCCCCAAGTGACTGCAATGGCCAGTGCTGCGCTGATCTGAAGCCAGGAGCCTGGATCTTCCTCTGGGTCTCTGACATGGATGCAGGAACCCAAGGCTTTGGGCCATCCTTGACTGCTTTCCCAGGCCGCAAGCAGGGAGCTGGATGGGAAGAGGAGCTGCCAGGATTAGAGCCAACACTCATATGGGATCCTGGCAAGTTCAGGGTGAGGACTTTAGCTGCTAGGCCATTGCACAGGGCCTGATATTTGGATTTTTGAAAGTGGTTTGTTTTAATGAACACAGTTGAATCTATTTTGTTGTGAAAAATTGCATTTCATTCTGAGTCTGAGTAGTATTGCATCATGTTTATGCATCACATTTTTTTAATTCCATTCAAAAAGATTTATTTATTTATTTGATAGGCAAAACTTCAGAGAGAGAGGGGGAGAAAGACATCTTCCATCCCATGGTTTACTCCACGAACACCTTCAACAGACAAGACACCAACGAAGACAACATCAACCATGACAATGCCAGTGAGGAGCTCAATCCTGATCTCAGTGTGGTGAGTTGAGCTGCCATGAACATGTGGTTAAAGATCACTTTTTCATATGCTGATTTCATTTTCCAGGAGAGTGGAATGGCTGAGTCTTATGATCTTTTAGGACAAGGAAAAGGGTTTTACAGGGCCCGGCGCGGTGGCGCAAGTGGTTAAGTCCTCGCCTTGCACGCCCGGGATCCCATATGGGCGCCGGTTCTAATCCCGGCAGCCCCGCTTCCCTTCCAGCTCCCTGCCTGTGGCCCGGGAAAGCAGTCGAGGACGGCCCAAAGCTTTGGGAACCTGCACCCGCGTGGGAGACCCGGAAGAGGCTCCTGGCTTCGGATCGGCATAGTATCGGCCCGTTGCGCTCACTTGGGGAGTGAATCATCGGACGGAAGACCTTCCTCTCTGTCTCTCCTCTCTGTATATCCGCCTTTCCAATAGAAAAATAATAAAAAAATAAATCTTTAAAAAAGAAAAGGGTTTTACATGTGGGAAGAAAGCTGGATCCTACCCGTGAAGGTCATCTTCGAAGGGAACTCTGCCACCCTTCCATCCTGGGCAAGCGGCTTGACCTCCCTTTGCTCAGCCTCTGCACTGCTAGTCTCTTTAGCTGGTCCAGAAGCACACCTGTCACTTCGGCCACCGGCGACATGCCTCCTCTTTCTCACTTGTTTGTCTTTAGTGGTCAGGCATTTTCTTAGGGAAATTAAAAACACTTCTTTGAATTCCCCTGCTCACCCCCACAAGACTGACAGAAGTGTTTCTGTTTTGACAGATAAGAAGTTACAAAGAGATTAAATAGCTTTCTCAAAGTGAGACTCTTTCAGAATTTAAGCCCTGATCTGCCTATATTGGCCTGATGAGATTTTAAAAGTGTTGGGCTGCGTGTCTTGTACTGTATTAAGGATCAGAGAGGATCTAAAACCGAAGGGCAGAAATGACACTGTTTTTTAATTTGCCAGTGAGGAAGGATAGCTTTGTCATCTTTGTAGTGTCCAGGGTGCAGTGTTTGAAAGCTTTCATCCCAAGTCTTTGGATCTTTTCTGTCCTCTTTTGCATTTCTGTATTCTTTATTTCAGATCACACTGTAACCTGGAGATAAAATCTTTGGTCTTCATAAATACTTACAAGTCAAATTCTGAACTCCCCTTCCTCATGACAGTATTCTAATAGAAATGCTGTCAAAATTGGCCTGAGTACAAGGCTAGTACATTCCCTGAATGCAAACATGCTTATCTTGATTTCCATTATAACCCTTAAAAAAAATACCCAGCAGAGACATGACTTAATGAGTGACAGACATAAGCCTCTACAATGGATCATTTTATTAAATTGTTTTGTTACACACAAACAAATTTGGTGCCATATCATTATCCCCAATATGAGAGTTGCAGCACAATGAAATTTGTTATTACCATTTTATACATAGTGCTAAACAAACATACTACGTGGTTGACAAGAAATCTAGCCTCTGATGCTTTCATGTTTAAATACCTAAAGACATCTGTAGATGTAGCTGTGGAGACGCTTTTATGAGATAGGAATATGCAGTTAAATTAAACATCCTTGTAAAGATGCGTTTTCTTGGTATATAAGAATATAAGAATAGGTATGATTTTGTAACAGGTGACATTTGAATAACTACCTTTGAAAGGTAAAATAAACAAAATTTTAAAGATTAACTGCTACAGTATAAGTGAGAACAGCGAGAATCCTCTAAGGACTGTTTACTTTTTCTTTTTGCTTATCTTGACGTTCCCTCACTACTTTTCTTTTGTAATCTCAGGTTTTCTAAAAAGTTAACCGTTCAGTTACAGCAGGTTGATTTTTCCCATGTGGAGTCTATTGGGAGTCATTCTCAGAATAACAGAAGGTGCTTTTAAAAATAAATATTCCCCATTTATTGGAGTCACAGTACCAATGAGAAAATTTCTAAGCTTAAAAGGACACAGAACATGACATAATCAGCCTAATTCTGAAGCCTACAGGAAATTCCAAGCTATTTTGTAAGAATAATTTAGTTTTTTTTTTGTTTTTTAAAAAAAATGTTCTCTTTGTTAAATTTCATGTTTCATTATTCTAGAAATTTCAGATTAAAACAATGCCATTTCAGGTATGGAAAGTAAAATATTTTCTTGACACACGGTTCAATAAATGAGGAATTTGAGAGATTTTCATCTTTGGCTCTAAAGTCATCTTTCATTGTTTTCTTTTTAAATTTTTTTAATTATTAGTGTAATTTTTCCATAATATAGCTCTGTGGGTATAGGGATTCCTGTGTTCTCTCTCCTTCCACCCTCCCACCATTTCCCCTTATATTATTACAGTAGTATACTCCTTTAGTAACACTTACAAGTTTAACATCCTGATATTAAGTACATCATGGCATTGTAGAGACAGACAAACATAGAAGATCACTGTTTTCTTTTCTCTCTTTTAAAAGACAGATATACAGAGAATTGAGATACAGAAAGATTTTCAGTTTGATGGTTCACTCCCCAAGAAGCCATGAGTTAACGCTGATCCAAAGCTAGGAGCCAGTAGCTTCTTCTGGGTCTCCCACGTGGGTGCAGGTCCCAAAGGTTTGGGCTGTCCTCGACTGCTTTCCCAGGCCACAATCAAAGAGCTGGAAGGGAAGTGGAGAGGCTGGGATATGAACCTATGCTCACATGGGATCCCAGCCATGCCAGGTGAGGACTTTAGCAGCTAGGCTACTGCCTCAAGACAGATCATTGTTTTCTTAATGCACAACTTCTTTGTCTGAACAAGTCTGAGATGACTGTTTTTCTTTTTGCCTCAAAGGGAGCTGAGACCATGAGCATGATGCTGTCTTTACAAAGATGCTCTCTTTCCTGCTGTGAAAAGCTGTGGGAATTCCCCCAGGGGGACAAAGGGCATGTCTTTCTCCTTGGAGAGCATGAACTGACTCCACTGACCTGCCTGGGTGGTATTTACTCTTGTCTATCTTCTGCCAATACAACTCTACATGTTGGCCCGTTTGATTGCCAGCAGCTCCTATATGCAAGATGACCTTTTTCATTACAAAAGCTGGTACACTCAGGCTCCATGGCTCATATCAGCTTGACTCACTGACTATTGGATATATTGGCTTATCTGTAATGTTGTTTGAACTATAAATTACAATTTTTTTTTTTTTTGGCAAGGGGAGGAGATGGAGCTTCCTGTTGTTTACAATTAGCATTATCAGTCATGATAGCCTAGCTGGGTGCTTGGTTTTGCTTTCTGAACTGCCTATCCATCCTAAGCATTTAAGTTCAGGTGATATAGAATTTAGTAATGAATCAGATGTAACTAGATGAAAAAATACAGAAAGGGCACAAAACTTAACACTTGCAAAACAAATTTGTGAGGGCACAAGAAGAGATAAGGAAGGGAAATATGTAACCTCACATTCTAATAGGTCAGTAAATTAGTGTATGATGGTTTCCAGTTTTTTTTTTTTGCCTAAAAAATTATCATTTTGTTTCTTTCAATCATACTTATATTACACATGATAGATCAACTGTTTTATTTGCCTTTCCTGCTTTTGTTACATATGACATTTAGAAAACCTTTCCTACATTGTTTCCCAACATGCTTAGTGTCTTTCATTTACTTTTCCAGATGTAGCACATAGGTACTTGGCTTTAGAGCCCGATTCTAGATGGTTTCAACAGCAGGAAGTGAAGACTTAGGCAGTGAAGACTAAGGGCGGGACAAGTCCCAGTCTATTGTCTTTGGCTTCTTTCCTCGACTGAAAGTTATAGTTTCTATCCAGCAGATGTTTCTCCACACCACTCTCTCCAGGTACCGCCAAGTGTTAACTGTTGGGCTGATATAAAAGAAGTATGAGAAGAAAAATTGAGTATTAACTCTGATGGGCATAAATTTTCCATGGAGTCAGGGCAATGTTTATATGTATATACACACATATATATATATATTATAAACTAATATATATATAATATAAAATAATGATTTTGGAAGTCCTCACTCCTGGCCCTTCTCTGACATGAGAAAGGGGGACCACTTTTCAATCTGGGCAATTCAGCAAAGGGTCTTAGTCTGCAGAAAGAAGAGACACAGCAGTTACATGTAGAGACATGCACTTGCCAGATTTATTCTCACTCTTGATCACATGACTTAGTAAAGATTCCTAATTCAGTGTCCCAATAGGTGGTCACCCTTGCATGAGTTTCCACGGTTTTCTAAAAGTTCATTCTTGCTGTTAGGATTGTACATTTGTTTCTTAAGTTTTCTGTAGCAGATTACCACAAGCTCAGTAACTCAAAGCAATGAAATGTATTTTTTCAAAGATTCTAGACATCTTACACCCCAAGTCAGTGTATCAATGTGGCCTTGCTTCCTCTGGATCTTCTGGGCAGATCCCTTCCTTCTCACGTTCCAGCTGCCAGTGGCTTCCTGCCATGCAGAGTATTTCTTGGCTTACGGCTGCATCTTTCTAACTTCAGCCTCTGTGTTTCCATTTCTTCTTTCTCTAGATATCTCCATTTTTCTTCTTTACTTCTTACCAGGGCATAAGTTATTGGACTTCGGATCTGCTCTGGTTAACTTCTTACATCTGCAAAGATCCTATTTCCAAATGTGCTGCTATTCTACAGTTCAAGACACAAAGTAATCTGGGGGCATTACTGAGCCTTGTGTCCGTCATCAGTCACTAAAAGACCTGACTGCGAAGAGATGGTGACATCATTGTGTTTCATAATCCAAGGTTGCCACATCCTTCCAACCACTCATGTCAGCCAAAAGAATGTTTTTTGTCTTCATATAAGTTTCAGCTAGATTTCACCAAATGTGTCTTTTATGTCTTTATGCCTCCAATATTATTTCTGAATTAGTTTAATGAAATTTTGATAGTTTTTGTTTTAAAATTTATCTGTACACAAGAATCATTGCTCACGTTGATCTACATTTCTGACTGTGGAAAACAGGATTTAGCTTCTTGAGAAAACACAAACTAGAATTGCCAAA